TTGCTTTCAATTTTCTATATAACGTCCTCTCTCATCCAAATCAGCTGAAAGAAGCAAGAATTTCCCTGAGTTTTAATTGTGCACTGAAAGTTCGATCGTTTAGTATGAGGCCATATGAATACATAGTTTACTCTCTCGCTCGCCGCTCTCCCGCTCAGATCCGTCCTCCGCACGCGCGTGACCGGGACGCTCGTCTCTGGCTCCTTCGCGTAACATGTCCAAGATCATCTGGGAGCACCACTATCAGTGGCCGACGCTCAGATAGATCTACGCGCTGACCTCTCCTTCTCCGCTCTGCGTCCTCTACCGGTACTCCTCCCGCATAGGATGTGAGGCGATGTTTATGTTCTCTTCATCCGCACTCAGCTTAGCACATAGCTGGCACAATCGTTCGCTCGGCTTGTTGACTCTCATCGAAGCACTCCACCCCCTAACGCCAACCTCCCTGAACTCCCCTATCTATCGCCACTATTCGCATTCAGTGTATAATCGGACACATCTATGAATGCATTCAACTCTATACGCTCGCGATCCACAGTCGATTGTTCCTGTATAGATTGCTGATACCTCTAATAAAGCCGACTCAACACGCCGTGCCTGTCATACGCCGGAATGACGTATACGTCGGCTCTCACCTAATCCTCCAGCACTCTATCGCCAAAATTCTTTATTCCTGGCAAGCACCTAAGTAAATGTGTTTTTTTCAGCTGATTACATACGACTCTGCTGCTTAATATAGTATCACAAATTTGAGTCCTTGCCGTATAGTAGTGTGCCTCACTCCAAACTCGCCCCTTTGGCTAATGGGTCGCATGGAGCTCATTGCTTTGATTTTCACAACGGCTCTCTCTCCTTACATGTGACTCAAGTATCTCGGTTAGTCTCTTGGGTAGTCTAGTAATTAAATCTGGACATAGTGACTCGCTTTATAAGTACGCTCGATATTAGTTTTTGGTTAGTTCAGCTCATAAAATTCTTACAGAATCTCTTCAACCTTTTCTGTTGACGTAGAACATCTCCTATCATAGGGTTACCGATACATCTGAGAAGTTGAGAAACTTGTAGCGCACTATCGTCATAGCCAACCTACTCAATCTGGTTTGATTAGCTCTCTTATTTCTTATACCCTCAAACCTTCCTTCCTAAAGAGTAACACTTTCTCGTGCTCTTATCTCGCATATTCTCTTCCGTCACCAACGGTCCTTTCTCCCTACATGGCTCTCTCTGAAAACTGTTTTAGGAAATGCCACATCCGCATTACACTGTGTCCTACTATCCCAAACGAACTTCGGGATCATGTCAGCACATCTTAAAGCATAAATGAGTACTCGCATGCCGCAAGACACTCAAATGCCACCTCTCCTGCGTCCATACGGGCCATCCTTTAAAAAATTATTGTTTGCTGTCGCTCCGCGTACCTGCACCAACGTCACCTCAATAGCCGCCAAACACAAAAGTTTCTTTCATTTTGTCGTCTCCCTCATATACCCATCGCTATATACTATTTTTCTTCCTTTTTACCTCTATTTTCGCTATTAGTTAAGACTGAAACACCCAAAGCATTTGTGGCAAACGGAAGACAGACCTTAAAAGAACTATTTATGCCTACACAAAACATACGCTACCTACCTACCCACATAAAAAATCATGAGTCGGGCGGACAGCAAACATAGGAAATTCTTTAAGGATCACCTAGTTGGGGCATACATTTTAGAGCAAGAACTTCGCCTCTGCTTGGCACCATCGCAGAGCTATAGCAGCCAGATCAGCATCGCTACGTCCGTATGCCGCGGACAAGTTCGTATGTAGCAGTATAAGGTAAGCTAGCCACGCGTCACTGCTCGCTGTGAGCCACGCAATTTCCTATACTGACCAACGTCGGTTTCATATTAAGCCTAATTAGGCGACAACGATCCGTTTTCAGATAAGAAATTAGTCTTAAACTATTAGATCATTACATTAGTCTTAACATTAGTCTTAACATGAACTAATTCTATTTCTGACACGCCGGCACGAGGAAGCTCCGGGCTTGCCAAAATCTACCACACACTAGCAGAGTTGCCGCAGCTAAAACCTAGAGGTTCAGTTGCTCGCAAATTCAGAGAGAATATTCAGTTAATTTATGTCGTACATTGACACAGCCGATGCGGGCGCAGAAGGGCGTAACCGTGCTATCGACAGCTAGGGACAGCCAGTTTATACACAAGGCTCTGCCAATGGGGGCCATCCTCGCAGTTGGCTAGTACTCGCTCACCTTTAATCTCTACTAATTAGCTTTGACAAGCGCTTTCGCCAGTTGCCGACATTCAAAACAATTACTGAAAAAGCGGGCGCACACACTTTTACGTCAATTACTAACTTATTACTCTTCTACTTAACCTCACCAATTACAGTACACGATTATCACACGGTGCAACACGCATTAAAAAATTCACTACATGCGGCCAATCACTATCTAGATTTCATTTCTCATTAGAATAGTCTGAGTAATAAACTTAATATACGAGCCTCGCACTGGCAAAAATTCTCATTGCTGAACTTTGTAACTCGCATAGACATGCAGGGTAGTACAACGAAATTTGAAGGCGAGAGTACTTATCGTGACTATACTGTGATAGCAGACGACATACGTTGGGGGGGGGGGAAGATCATATATATGTTCTATCAAACATTCTTTAAAATCATTGGTTATAGGTAAGGCCATGACCGCAATATAACACATCACACCTACTATTTACGGCGTGCTCCAAGGAATACTTATGCAAAACAATCATCTAAGACACATCACTCATACACCCATAACAGCTCTAAACTCAACATTGAAATAACGCGAATACTTCAGTAATATAACACAGCAGCCGGCAGAGCGTTGGCCTCATCTGAGGTCTGTTGCTACGATGATAAACGTAAAATTTCAGTCCTGGCCTAGGACCACATTTGTTAGGTGCCAGATGATGCAGACCGCAGTTGCGTACACACTCATTGTTGACACGGACGACGACAGCCCACATTCGGCAGATGGAGGGTAGGGGGAGGGGTGGGAGGGTGGGGAGGAGGTGTGTGAGGTGGGGTAAGGGGCGGGGAGGGGGGGAGGGGAGGGGGAAGGGGGCGTGGGGGGAGGCGGGCTCTAATAGCAAAAGCACGTTCACTTTGTTAACAGGTCAACAAATCCTGTTAACCCTGCCTCCATGAGGGTCACAAAAGATTATCAGTACACTTACTTCTTCGCACCAGTCAGGTGGAAAGCCACTTTCTATGTTCCATTAATCACATAAGCATAAAATCAGTAGGTCACCGCTGAAACAAAAAAGATTTTTCAGACTCGCTCGGTTCACACCATGTCCTCAGAAACAATGTCCAAAATCTGCCCTGCGCCCATTGAGCTTTTGACCTGTGACCTCCAATTTCGGCACGATGTGATGGCTTTTCCTACCATGATGTATACACGGCGACTATCAGAGCCTAGGTCGAGCCGTTTAGATTTGTGCCGCAATTCTGCATTCCTGCCCTATACCTTAAGTTAGGAGAGGAAGTGTTCCCCTTCTTTTACACCTTCGTGAACTCTTTGACTTTGAGCCCCAGCTTTCGATCATCCCAACTCGTTTCGGATGTACCCCCCACGTCCGCGAATATCGTGACCCGTCACGTCGAGCCAGTTTAGATTTGTGCCAACTGTTGGACGACGCACGGACGGACGGACAGACGGCGCACGGACGCGACGATCATGCGATTCTACAAGCTGCATCTGACTATGTCAGATGAGCTAAAAATTGTCAAAATATATCACACTCAATGCACTAAACTTGGCGTTGACGCACGCATATGCGCACCGCACACATTTATTTTGGCTAGTGCTGATAGGAAACACATGATACAATGCCGACAATTATGTAATATCTCTAAAAACAAATTAACTATAGATTATACTTTGTAGTTCAGATATCTTGCATCATAATAAGCGGCATTCGTTCTACCTGTATAACTCCTTCGCCCCTACAGCCTAAGAGCCCCTAGCGGGAGCGAAGGGGCTACACGAGTAGAGCTAGTGTGGTAAACGCCATATTAATATTATATTGCCCTCAGAACCACGGACTCAGTAAATGCTGAAAATATGATTTCAATATGATCAGGTATCGCTTCCGCCGCTTGCCGTGTTTTCGAGTATGTTGTGTCACTCGTTCTTGCTTTCTCGCTCTCTCTCTCTCTCTCTCTCTCTCTCTCTCTCTCTCTCTCTCCTTCGTACTTCGTACGTTCTACGTACTTACGTACTTACTACTACGTACTACGTATATATATATATATATATATATATATATATATATATTTCCAAGTTTTGCTGACTTTCTTCTGACTCAAAGCGCCTGTGGCACAATCAGTTTTCTATTCAGGTGTAGTAGTACACTGTTACGTTCAGGCGCCGCATAGACTTCGTAGCAGCTGCCCAGCCAGAGATCTACAGGCAAGCCTAGAGCAATATTTACGTGTGAGTCAGGCGCGCTACGTACGTACAGTACGCACAGCACGCATCGCGCATTTGATGCATCATCCCCTCTCTAATCCCTGCATGCATGATCCCTGACTTATACGTCACCGCATATAAGGTCCGCCGTAATTAAAACATCGATACGCGATTCGTTAAAAACATCTTTTACGGTTTTCCGCCGAATGGCGTTTGGTTCGCTGCGAGTTTGATGTTCCATTCACTTGTGAGGCTTCGTAGACTGCGCCCAGATCTGCCACAGGCTGCGGAAACTGTACGCGGGCTATAGTACTAGAGCTATTGTAAGGCTAGCTCTAGAACTATAGCACTTCGCTCTGCCACAGTGTGAGGCGAACTGAATCCAGACGTCCCCGCGTGGCGTCGGTGGCGACAGTTGAATCTCTTGATCACCAGTTGATTCGTCATCAACAGTTGATTCTCGGCGAGTTATATGCTGCCCGTCTGAACCCAACAGACAGGTCGGATGCGTAAAACGTACAGCATCACTGAATCAACTCACCTGTATTCAGCTTTCAAGTTATCCGATGTAGCCCTAAGTCACCACCGTACAGCCAAGGCTCTCGTCGCACGCTGGTGTTATTTTTCACTCAAAACGTCACGGTACCTTATAAGGCATGCAAAGGTGTTGTTGTTGCTTCGGCTGTGATGTCCGTCAGCCACGTGATGGCCGAGCGAGCCACGGGGGATGCCAGCAGCGTGTCTATGGCCGGCGGCAGTAGCAGCTGACGAGCGGCTAGTCACCCCGCTCATGCACTGATGAGCACACCTTCGCTTTTCACACCGACAACGAACGCATACAGCTGTGCGGTACTCACTCACTCTCCCTTCTGCTGCGCACGCACGCACGCACCCGCACACGAGCTGTGAACTGATCATGCGACGCACGGTCTGCCTCTGAACTTCTTCCCAGCACGGCCGCCTGCTGTAGAAAGAGCGGGGCGGGCAGTGAGTGTAGTAGTCTCTCTCTGCTACAGCTCAGCATGTGCGCGCTCACGTATCTGCCGCACTCGTGCATGCACAGGCTCAGATGCAAACGGTGACGGCGAGGGCACGCGCACAGGCGCACGGCATTAGGCGCTTGCTTGTCAGAGCCGAGTGTGGACTTGTCAGTCTACTACTACAATACAGCACGATCAAAAATCATGTAATACGTTAGCGTCAAACACTGGTGACGCGCGCGCGCGCACGCACGCACGCACGCACACACGCACACACGCACACACGCACACACGCACACACGCACGCACACACACGAGCGCGCGCACCACACTTGTAGAGGAACGACGGGAGAGAGGGTGAAGGGAGATGGAACATTGAAGTAATATTACACTACTAGTACCTGTACTGATTTATGTCAGTACAGGTACTATTTTGTTTATGTCAGCTAACTACTGTGAGCTATGCATAATTTTCACTGATCTAGGCGTGCATTCTACAATGCCAGAAAACATAATAGCCGCGAATTTCAACAGCTCACATATTACATCATAGACTAACGATAGCATCTAGCTCTAATTACAATGCCTCTTACGGTTACCCCGGCAACCGCAATTTCATCCGTCTGTGTTATAAATTGTATTAAATTATGGCTGAAATTGTGTCTACAGACCTATATGCATTAACATATGAAACTGGGTATGTACGCGTAGCCTTTATGTAAATGAGTGCGCACGCACGTACACGCACGTACACGCAGGTACACGCACGTACACGCGGGTACACGCACGTACACGCGAGTACACGCACGTACACGCAGATACACGCACGTACACGTGGGTACACGCACGTACACGTGGGTACACGCACGTGATACGTTGCGGCAGTATACCCTGGGGGACATAGACCCTCTCAGCAGTAGTAACCCTACTCTTGTTGGGTTACATTATTGTATCTCGGTCTAATCAGGCTATATTTAATACAATTGCATACATTGACAGTAGAAATGAACGATATAACAAATAGTAGAAATAAACAATAGCATGACAAGTCAGTAGCAGCATACCCAAGGTTAAAGGGAGAGGGTTAACATACGTTTACAAGCCTCTTTTCCTGCACGCAGAATAGATTTAAAATTTACAGCATATAGCTACATACTTTTTGTAAGCTCGATGAACTTTGTCTCTCTCCGTCTTTTGTATGTATACTCCCTTAGGCTTCGAATTTAAAGACTAATCCTTACAAAGTTACAGCCGATCAAAAATCAAAATTACCGCCAGCAGAACGAATTTATAACAAACTTGAAAAAACCTACACAGTGCTAATGCAGGAAACGGCCACGTGTTAATTCGTTCCCAGTGCTGTCGTAATGGATGATGCGTATTCACGAACCGAAGGCGAAGTAATAACTTTCACAAAGTAAAAGTAAAGACATTTTCAACAACTTTCGCAATCTGATACAGATGTTGTTTTAGTTGACCACTTAGGCAGCACTGTACAATGATGAGGTCTAGTCAGCTGACATGTGGCTGAACCCCCTAGGCTAGAGCCTAGAGAGGCTAGAGCAGAGGCTAGAGTGTCAGTACGACTCTGTCTATACCACCATCACTCATCAGTACTATATATTTCTATGGCTGAACCACATTGCTATATGACGATTGAAAACGTACTCTTCTTACGATTGTTTTCGCAGTCAGGCACATGTTCGTAATATAACGGATGTCGTTTAGTAGTGTCAGATAATCAACACATGATCGACTTAGAAGTTACATGGTTCCGCCTCTGCCTCACCATCCATTATAGACATTTTACCGCCATCTATTGAGCGACTTGTTAATGATTAACAATATGGAGATTTTTGCAAACTTCGGATCACGTTTGGGCTTTATTATTCAAAGGAATGAATTAAAAAGCTTAACTTACATGTTTTTTGTGTGTGAAATACATTATTTGGTTCATTAAATGTCTTTGTGATATCACATAAGTAATGAAGTAATGAATGTATGAATGTAATGAATGTAATGAATGTAATGATGAAATAATGAAAATAATGAATGTAATAAAGTAATGAAGTAATCATGAATAATAAAGTATCTTTTTATAAAACACAAGATTGCAACAATTATCTACTTATAAATATTTTAATGTCAGGGTTCATTGTATGATGTATCATTATCACGGATATAAAATTTAACAATTATACCAGGAGAGTATACTATATACAAAACTATGGTATTAGTTGCTGATCACGTCTTGATTAGATCCTTCAAATATAAAATGCTTGAAATTATCAGATGGAAACGTGCACACACGCAAGCATGTACGCACTCATGCGGGCGTACAAGCGCATACACAAAGACAATGCACCCACACTCACGCACATACACTCACGCAGAATCTATTAGGCATTTACAGTTCATGAAAACATCACATACCAAGAAGTGAATTATTTTGTGTTAAGATATAAGCATACACACATATTACCGATTGATATAATTTCATGTCTTAACACTTTTCCTCAACACAAATAAAACCAAAGACTGCAATAATGCAATTTTTAGACCAATATTGTTATAAATGAAATCCCATTACTTCTTCCCTTCTACCATTATAATATGGTATCCATGCACTGTCTTAACTGGTGAGTTAGTGTAAATAGGACTGGCTAAAGTGCTAATCTTTAATGCAAATGCAGCATCTTGGAAAGGTCCAACCATTGAGCCTCTTGTCATCCAGCCAAGATCTCCCTAAAAATATTGCAATAAAATAAAATGTGTCAGTTATATCGTCTAGATTAATCAGGCTATGGACATACAATTAATAGATTCATTTCCAGTACTACGTATGTGCATCCAACATAAACAGGCAAATACATATTTTTTGGCTTAAAACTAACAATACTTATGCAAAGTGTAATAAGGGTTTTGTTTGAGCTACCAAGCAGTCATATTATAGATATAGCAGAAATTCTAGCCCCCATATAAGGTTTACATAGTAGCATTATTGGTATATGTTCTGATATAATAACTAAGATAAAAGATGTCTGATAATTATATAGTGTTATGATCTGTCATCTATAACAGAGCATACACCCAAAACAGAACAAAATAAGACCATATACAAGTTTCCCTCAGGGAATTTCAAAAGGAATGCTATTTAGGGACAGATGGGGGAAGAACTTGGAGGGGTTCTACCAACTGGATTCAATTACATATATATGAGAAGTGGCCCCGATACACAGGTTAATCTCGATCAGGTTGAAGACATAAATTAAACTCTAAAAAACACAGCATGACTGTGGGACTGGGGTGGTGTTGGGATTGTGAAATGTAAACAAAGCTAGAAATTAAAGTATGTTCGTTAAGGTAATTAAGGCATGTCAGACTCAAAATACATTAAAGGCATGAGGAAGAACACCGGTATACTTTATACATTTAGAACATACCCCTTGTCTCGCTTTGTCTTCACTGTACTGTGCAGCAATCTCATTAAACTTGCTTCCTGCATTTAACTTTTCCAGAGCTTCCATTATTTTTGAATGTTTCTCACATAATATGTGTCTGACCTGAAAGTAATGCAATTATATGTACAGAGGGCAAAATGAGCACCAGTCCACCGATATATGTCGGTAAATTATTTGAGGGCCAGTGACATAGGCAAAACACCGGCCCTCTGAGCCGGTGGCTTCAGCCGTGCTAGCGAGTACCTACATTTTCATTTATAGCATTAACGAGCAATCATACAGCCTACATCAATGTTTTAGCTGAATGATATCATGCCATAATTTATCAACATTTTACGGGTTTAGCCTCTTGCACACTGACTTACAAAATGGACTGCAGCCTGGTACCATAAACAATCTTACAAGAATAAGAATCCATACTGGAAGTGTACCAGAATATAATGCAGAAGCTGCATAATTTTCGGCCTCTAGCAGTAACTTACTGCAAGAGATCTAATGCAGCATTTGATCTCTGGCAGAAAGTTACTGATAGAGGCCGAACATTTTCCAAGCATTACAGAAAGCTGCAAATGGCCCAGTACTATCACAAGAATTGTGATCCAGCATCAGTTGATGAGGAATTAGAATCAGAATCGTATTCTGATAACAATATTGAATAATATCAAGAAATCGAGTAGAACCTTCTAAATTATCTCCAGAATAAAGCAAGGTTAAATCAAGTTTAAAATCAAAGTTTCATGAATCAAAATTTTAATTGCAACTACTATCCTTTGAATAGTAATAGTAATACTCCTGCGAATTTAGGGATCCCGCTTTCCTACCTGCTATATATGTAAGTGTAAGTGTGCACAGTGCAGCCGCAAGAGCAATGGCCGCCGGCAGCGTATGTTGTACATAGGATTTGGACGGAATTTACAGGAAACTGTCGGCAATAATAGGTGAAAGAGAGTATAGAAACATTAAGAATTTGGTAGTAAATAGATTTCGTATTTATTTAGCATTATATTTTATTGAAACGCTTCAAGTGCCTGTGGTATACCCACACCCCCATGAGTACTTCTACTTTTACTTCTATATACTGGACAGTCCGTAAAGAGTAATGGGCTGCCCTCGTTTTTTTCTGTGATCTGTTCCTCGTGGGAGCAGAGGAAGCAGTACCGTTGCCCAGTTTCAACATAGTATGTGCTATAGTCCTGTGGCAGAGCCAAGGGCTAGAGTTCTAGAGCTATGTTATGTTATGTTCTCGTACTTGTCGGTGTGCACTGCACTGGACACCCAACTAAGAACGGGATACCTGGGCCTAAATAAATAGCTCCACATAATTGGACAAGAGGATAGCCCCAACTGTGAAGAGTGTGGTGAGCCCGAGACAGTAGAACACTTTCTCTTGGATTGTGCCCGTTTCACAGAACAGAGAGAACGACTGTGCTACAGGGTCTTCAACCTGTGTGGAGAGTGGTCCATCTCAGTGGCCATGTTGTTGGGTGTGTTGGAAGACGATCAGTACAAAGATATATGCATCAAAATATGTGAGCTTCTAGGTGATTACATAGCCCAGACATGTCGCCTCTAATGACGTCAGCGCCACCTATTATCCAGTAATACCCGTAATACCGTGAGACACTTACATAGTGTGACATTAACGTACTAAGTGACTATCATACCGAGAGAACACTACAGCTCTGCGGAGCTCAGTTCAAGGATTCAAGGATTCTGGACAAGGTAGTATAAAGTGGTAAGTGTAAAGTGGTAATAACAGTTTTCAGAACTAAGATATTGGTACATTTCGGTATAGTGGTTTGCTAGCTACAATGTTTGGTCGCTTTGTTCGCCTTGGAGCTTCTCGCCAGATAGAGAGAAGCGAAAACGGAGAAGGTAACTAGGGTCCAGTAGGCCCCTTGGGACCTAGATACAATAATGTAACCCAAACCCAAGAGGATAGGGGGACCCAAGAGGATAGACATAATAATGTAACCCAAACCCAAGAGGATATCCTATCCTCTTGGGTTTGGGTTACATTATTGTATCTACTAGGGACCCGATCACATTCATTTCTAGTCCGAGATTCCTCTGACCAATGCCCACACCGAAGATTTTGGTGGATTTGGTGTGGGCCTAAAACGCCTAGGGCCTAGAACGCCTAGCCCACACCAAATCCACCAAAATCGTCGGTGTGGGCATTGCTCAGAGGAATCTCGGACTAATTCATTTCATACTTTCACTGCGGTGCCGCCTTTTTTCTCCTTCCCTCCAGCATCTTCACTTGATGTCTTGGCTGATTTGCCAAAGCTTTCCGGCTCCTTGCCAGCAGCTTTTCCTTTTGGGGCATACCAGCTAATGTATATAAAAAATCCCACTACTATATAGTGTATATACTGAATTACACAAATAATACATATTAATGGCCATTCCTGCGAATCGCTAGACTGGTACTCGCTCCCACCTCGATTACTCGATCGATCGACCTATCGAGTAACTAAGCGGAGAGGTGAGACGCGGTACCAGTCTAGGGAATCGCTATCGAAGTAGCCTGCTCTGCTGTTAACCACGATAGGTGCGCCACCTTTTGTCGGTTCCCATAGACACCGCTTGTGCTTGCTTAGTGATCGTTCGTAATCTGCTAGTGTTACTGTTACTGTTAGTACTGTTACTGTTATTGTTGAATATTTCCTGGTATGTAGTTAGTAGTAGTCTAGTGTGAAGATTAATTAGCAAACGACCGTTCACAGTGATCATTTACATGAAATAATTCCTAATATTACCAGCCGCACTATGCCGTATCGCGTATGCGCATCCAAACGCTAATTTCTCCAGTACTGGTAACCCGACCAGCTGTGGTGACACGTCAATACACCGCCTGACATCCATCCATTGAAAAATCTTGTAGCTGTACAAAAACTACCGAACAATTACGTATATCTCAAATAAATGATCATCTAAGCATTTCTGCCTTGTTTTGTATCAAATATAACCTTCACCTATAGTATTCCAGCGTTGTTATTAAAACTAATACCTCAGTTTGCTGTGCACAGTGTAAATTTCAAGAGCCAAACCGAAATTTCAACTAACCGCCAACCGCCATGTTTGCAATGCGCATGATTTTCGAACGGCACGCGGAAAACCCGAAACGACATAACATACCATAGCGTTGCTACTTGCGTTGGCGCGAGCATAAAGAAGCATCATATACTCGTATATATATAAATATTAAAACATTGAAAACCAGAATCTGTCAATCTACAACAACTTAATAATTATCATTGGCGAAGATATGTACTTGCGTTGTATTGGCCTACGACTGTGAAAATCAGGTCCATTGCGATTTTAGTTGCACTGAACATGGCAGACATGGCGGCTATCTGGTTGTTTTGATCCAATTCATCTCAGAAAAACGGCATAACTCAATAAATAAGTAGCGCCCAGTAGCGCCCAGTTACCGCGAGCAAGCAGAGGTTTATAGATTCGTTTGAGCTATTACATGTGACGCTAGCTGTGTCGATGGTTGGATACCGAGCCAACTACAAGGAATTGTGGGCAGAATCTGAAACGGTATCTAACCTAGCAATACCGTTTCTTGGAGCTACAGTACTGGCCTCCAGAAACGGTATTGCTAGGTTAGAATACCATTAGAATAGAATTGTATAGACAATCCGTCGCACAGCCTGGTCGGGCTACAGTACTGGCAGTACTCTGAGTAGGCCTACTTGACTAGCAAATACTTCGTGTCATGCATAATCACACTACCTTATGCAACAAATAACTCTAGTTCCTCCCATTTCACTGCACGTTTGCTGAAAACCCACAAGAAAAGAGGTGCGAAATCTAGTAATCTGCGCCAACACCGACTTGTTTGCCACACAATTCAGCCTCGAAGCGGTAGTGACGTCACAGTGTTTATCTTTGTTACACCCGTACGCGCTGTACCGCAGCACTGCTGCACGGTTGCTTTGGAGAGCAACGCGAAACTGTCAACAACATCGGAGAATTTGAACAACATGGAGGTATTTTCAAATGCCTTTTATAAGACAACGCGCAGTGAAATGGGAGGAACTAGAGTTATTTTGTCATAAGGTAGTATGATTCTGCATGACACGAAGTATTTGCTAGTCTAGTACTGGAGAAAATTAGCGTTTGGATGCGCATAGTGCAGCTTTAATAGTAATGACTAATATAGTAATAGTATGCCAATGTGCAAATCCACTTTACTCTTTAGCCTAGGCACCTTATGCTTAGGTATCACGAAGTGATGCACAGATTTCTGTGTATCATCAACTGATGCACAGACTTTCTGATCAAGGAATGATGCAAAAACCCTAACCTTAACCCTAACCCTAACCCTAACACAGGTTGTCCGCAACAATTTCTGGTTGTCCCAAAAAATATCCCAAATCTCCTATTTTCAATCACATAATAATATGATCAGAAAACACCCCAAAACAGTGGCGTAGCCAGGATTTTTTAACAAGGGGGGCCAAAAACAGCAAACTGCGCAAAATAGTGGATGACTTAATATTTTACTGGCTCCTCCGCTCCCTCTCCACACCCTACGGCTCCTCTACCTCTCAGCTCGCCAATCTTTGTTTGGACGCCATGCGAAAAGGCGACATTTTGTTCATTGTTCTCTGCTCCCAAGATAGTGTAATTGTTCAGTGGCGGGTCTAGGATTCCAAGGAGGGGGGGGGGGCTAAAAACAGGCGGGGGGGGGGTATGGGGTTCTCTCCCCAAAAAATTATTGGAAACTTGCTGTTTGCTGGTTCCAAATCAAGTTCACCTTTCATAAATCAGAAAACTGACATATACCAGTGTTGGAAATAGCAGCTGGTCCCATATTTTTATATTATTCACAGATTTCATTCACGATTAAGATTTCTTGATGAGCTAGAAAAACACTCGGATTTGAAGTATGAAAATGAACATTATTGTGCCAGCTAGCCTATACCAGTTGGTTGGGATGATTGTCAGTTCAGATGCAAAATATTGAAAGCAAATGTTATACACCATATATTAACTGGTACTATAACACGCGTATATAAGATAGCCGATCGGTTAGAGTTAGTGTTAGGTTAGGCCATGAGGTTAGGGTTGGTTAGGACTAGCTATGGACGCAATGCAGGCCGATCGACAGCGAAGAAATTCAATTCGCAGTCAGAAAAAATATAAATAAAGTGCATTTTTCGTCAACTTTTTTTTGTTGTCCACCGGACATGTCTCAGACTGGTTAGGTTGTCCGGCGCAAATTCTGGTTGTCTCGGACAACCGGACAACGCTTATTTCGAGCACTGCCTATGCACCTCCGTGGGTGGGGGGCATTCACCCACATTATGGTAGGTATGTGCCATGTGAAGTCAAAAATGGGGGGCTCTGGAACTAATTAACTCAGACCTGAAAATGGGGGTCTCTGGAACTAATGTTTGTTGAATGTGGGATGCTCTGGAACTGGCTATGTTCAAAAATGGGGGTCTCCAGTTCATCATCGGATGCAAATAAACAAGAACAGCAGCAGCAGCTGACCATCCATCCATTCATATGCGTATGCGTTGCATGCATGCCTTCACGGCCCGGCTTCAACGTATTCTGAAGTACGATGCACTGGAACGGAAATGTTAAAAACTAGGGTCTCTGGAATGACAAAAATACAAGATCTGCATGGTAACTAAACTTGTGATGCTCTGGAACGAGATATTCTTAAAAATGCAATGCACTGGAATGGAAGTTTAGGGTTGAAAATGGGGGTCTCTCCCGCAGCACATACCTACCATGCAATATATATATGAAGTGCCCCCTGGGATATGCACTTCATAACTGTTCTAAATTATTTGGCCCCTCTTCTTACCCATAAAAAGCAAAAGTGCAAAATAGGGGGTCAAAACGTGTTAAGTGATATGGGTATAGATTTACCCATTTCCCTTGGCTGTAATTGGTACATATTCATGATATTGATATTAGTTTAGCCCAGAGATTTCTCCTCATTTTATGTTTAAACATAAATGAGGAGAAATCTTCATAACCCGGTTGAAGTGATTTCACCTCAAAATATATTACTAGTGGTAGTTACATTATTCAATCTTGCTTCATCTTGTGTATCTTTTAGCATCGGATCAGACGGATTGCTACTTAAATTAAATATGGAGACAGATGCTGTCCATGAGAGCTTAGAGGAAAACCCTGCTGTGGACCCTCGTAAAATGAGAAGCATCATTGCAGAGGACCCAGAATGGTCGTTAGAAATAGTTTCAATGCTGAGCGACCTGTGCATTGAAAACATTGTGAAAAACTTTGCAGGTACCTTTTTCTAATTACAAACAAACAAAAATGTAAAAAAAAGGAAGTTGACTGGCATTTAAAATAATTGTGACAATGTACTTGTCATAAGTGTAAATAAAGTGATTGAATTGAATTGAAATTGAATTGAAATTGAATTGAAATTGAATTAAAATTGAATTGAATTGAATTAAATTGTATTAAGTGCTCAATTACGATAATAAGCATAATTTAGAAAAATGTAAAAAAAGAGTTGAAAACTATCAAAATTCCTGTTTATTGTGAAAATTCTTGTTTAGTAACTTTCACAATAAACAGGAATTGTGATAGTTTTCAACCTTTTTTTTACATTTTTCTAAATTATGCTATTTTTTAATATGCTAATTAAATTTTCCAATAATGATATGATTAATAATGGAATATTGGAAGCTTATAAGCACAGCCACACATTTTCTAATTTCAGATCATCCGATTGTGGATGGGCTTCTATCAAAGCACAGAAAGAAGGTCATTGAACGTATTTCAACATTGATCCCAGTTTCAATCACAGCACCATTGATTGACGATGAATGTTACTGGCAGCGTTGCTGCACACACAGGTGGAAAGTTTGTGACGTGTCTTTGTGTGGAAACAGCTGGAAGCGAATGTATTTTGAATATAGCCTACAAGAGCTTGTTCAAAACTTTATACCAGGAAGGACTGAACTGATGTGTATTAGCGAACTGCTGCAGTTGGGATCAGGAATTATAAAGTGTCTGAATATCAAGGAGATGTTGCCACCTATGAAGGAAGCTGCACAGGACAAGGATAGTGACACATCAGATGGAGAGAGCGAGTCAGGTACATGCATGGAAGTATTTTGTGTTTACTTAGATTTCGATGAAATGTGTCATATTCTTAGCAATTCAATAAAAAGTATGGAAGCATTATACAAAGTGTAAAAAATAGTACTTATCACTATTAACAGATTATGTATATCAAAAATGTTTTCTGTGATATAATATGCATAAATCTATGTTATTTCTATAAGCAGACATACTGACATACTACTAAAATTAAGAAATGCATTTGTGTACCACTTATAATAAGGTTCACTGTACAGCTGTTACCTTAGTTCCTCACAAAGCTGAATAGAATTACTAAATACTGTTATCCCTTATGACACGCTTCTTCTTTTACATGTATTACAGGCCAGGATGAAATTAGCATAGATCACTTTGACTTTACGGTGCTGATATCACAGCTGCCATGTCTTGAAGAATTCCGAATCACATACCGAGTTCGTAATTGTGGAATGAACTTCGAGTGGAGGTTGTTTCTCTTCACCTTACAGGACTGCCACCTTCTAGCAAAGTGTCTCTCTGATTGTAAAACGCTTCGAGTGCTCAAGGTCACTGAGAGCAAAGTCAATGACGTCCGATGTAAAATGCTTGCAAAGGCATTCAGAGAGCACCCTGCTCTAGAGGAACTCGATTTGTCACATAATCTTATTAAGGACAGTGGTGCCAAGTCATTAGCAAAACTTATTAATGGGCAGAGCAAGCTCAAGAGGTTGAAACTTGCAGACAACAGTATTGGTGAGAAGGGAGGGCAAGCCCTCGCTGCTGCTCTACAGAACAATGACACACTTGTCCACTTGGACTTGCGACTGAATGTCATTGGTGACGAGGGCGGAAAGGCCATCTACACAGCTCTCCTGGAGAATTCAACACTAAAAGAGTTGGATCTTTCGGCCAATGTGATGCGTGGAGCTGTAGCTCCAGCTCTCAAGCAGCTCGTGGTGTCAAACACTAGTTTGCAAATCCTGAAGATGTATGGAACTAAAATTGGACCTGTATGTTATCAATCCATTATTCATTTCCCTTTACTGTAATTTTTGCCTTATTTCCTTTGTCATTTTTTTCCTGTCTTATTTTATTATCTTTCTGATATGCACTACTTTGGGCTTCATCGATTCTGTCCCATCAAATCTCGTTGGAATCATGTCCAGCTCGGAACAAACATGCGGTTTTATTATTATTCCGAATTTTATAGTTGCACATTTTTCATATAACAAGTGAATAACTCGCGATCATCGAATTCTAAATTCACTACTCTTTATTTTCAGGAGGGTGGTCGACTTCTGCAGGAGGGGATGGAGGAGAACAATTCCTTGTTGCATTTAGACCTCAGGCTAGCTGATTGTGGGCAGGAGTGCGAGTACTTCATAAACCAAATCCTCCGAAAGAATCGTGAAAGTTTTCGACAAGCTAGCCTCGTCATGAGTAACTAAGTATGCCCAAGCTAATTTTAGAATGACTCATGAAACAGACACTTGTTTATAAAACTTTTATGCCACGAGGTGCTTATATATTAGCGGCATTAATTTGAAGCTGTTATTGTGCTCGTTATATGTTGTTACTCACTTTGTTGATCATTGTGGTGTATGCAGGGCCGTACGCAGCAGGGGGGGAGCAGGGGCAGTTGCCCCCTAGAGATTTTCAGAGTATGCCTTTTAATGGGACAAATACTGTACACTTTTAGAAATAAAATAGAAATGTGACAAAAGGTTATCTTAAATCATCAAAGAAATATTACACTTTAAATAAAGAAATGTGAAATTGCGAAACGTTAGGGCACAGGGGTCATGGGGAGTACCTTTGCCCCCTACAGAAAATTTCCTGCGTACGGCCTTGGGTGTATGCTTCTGTTATGTGCATATATTTATCCGATAAAATATTTTCGTGGAAACTGAATGTGTAACATGTACATTTGGCGCTAAAAAGCTCGACAAATCCAAGTAGTGCCTTTATGTAATCTGATTTGTTGATCAATAAGTACATTTCGAGGATGCTTATTTGATCTATGCCTTACCAGTTTCAGTTACCAGTGTCAACTGGATATAATAGATTGTAGACCATTTTATTCCAATTATATTAATTAATTATATTATATGTTTTATATAAATGCATTGTTATGAAAATATACACCCTAATTATAGTTGTTTTTATATAAATCTAATCAAATTTAAGCTGTATACAATATGGGCTTTTTGATACAAAATAAAGTCGAAATAACTTTGATATTAGTTATCCTGAAACAGATGTGCATCACGATTGCAGAAATTAGAGCAGGTAATATGTGTGCAATTTTGGCTCCGCGTTTTATAGATCAAGCAACTGGCTTTTGACTACTACTGGTTCTAAACAATGGGTTTTCCTTATGTGCGGTGTACTGTCAAAGGCGTCGGAAGCAATAAAATAGTGCCGCGGCTTTGGTGATAGGGCGAGCCCCGGGGAGGCGAAGCCACCCTAGGGGGGTCTGGGGGCCTGCCCTCCCCCGTGAAAATTTTGAAATTTACAAGGCAAATGGTGGGCTCTGGTGCATTCTGAGCATTGTGATTTAGCACAAAAAAGTGTGTTTCACTGTAATTTTAGAAAAATACATGATGATTTGAAAGATGTGTTGCTTAACATAGAATTAAAATATTCAATAATGACCAAAAACTCCAAATTTATTTTTCTCACTTTAACAGTGGAATAATCTGTGGTAAAACTTCCTAAATACATTCCCATTCAAGACATGCATACAATTGTACTGGTGCTCACAAACGAACTGTTAATATTCGTCATGAAACGCGCTGACCCCGGGCAAAGCATGCTCCTTCAATATAACGCAATGGCATGCTGCCTGCATAGAATCGAGAGTAGACGGGGAGCAGAGGAATGTGTGCCAGAGTTCTGGATCATAAAATTTTATAGCTACAGGTTTAGTTAGGAGACGTTGTTTAGACAGTGCATGTGGTGCAGATTTCTAGATTTTCATCATGAATTGTAGGCTACATCGCCTCAAGTTGCTGGAGGTTTTTGTATACCTAATTATATACGCGGCATCGCTCAATACAAACGTCTTATTCTTGTAATAATGCAAGCAGCGACGCTATAAGCCAGTGAGACGGTGTCGGACGCGTATCTGAGTGTGCTGTGCATGTCTGATCTGTCTAATAATACTGTAAATACTTATTTAGGCATATGGCGCTAATTGTGAATGCATGGAAGCCATCGTACAATTCGTTACGGCCTGATGGGCAGCCATTTCATTATTTATCAAGTTTCATTTCAGGTGTGATGAGCAGCATCATTTATAATCCAATATAATGAAAAGTCCATTAAATGTTCATGATTTATTGAATATAGATGAACACCTTAAGATAAATAATCATGCGATAGAACATCATCTAAATTTTTCATCATTGTGTTCGTATATAGGTAGGACAATATACCAGGGGCGTAAATCCGTACCGAGGAGTGGGGGGGATGATCACGCGAAGGGGGGGTCTTTAAATTTTTGAAATTAGACCCCCTCAGATGCGTTTTCTGCGCGAGCAGGGGGGGTCCGGACCCTGGTACAAGCCCCTGACCTGACCTCATCTGAACCTGGTCTCCGCTTAGGGGGCTAGATTACACGTATATACATGATATATGTACCGGCCAAAAGACGGTATAAATTATTGAAAGATTTTGGTTACGGAAAATTTATGGCCTGAAAAAGTGCCGCGGCAGTTCCGACGCCCTTGTGTACTGTAAGTGTAATACGGTATCTCTATGAAGGAGTCGTGGTACAATAATAAATTTGATTATACTCACCTACACTTTATCGTAAGAATAGAAAATTCAAAGACAAAGAGTCGGGTGAGAATTATCTGGTTAAATAAATCATATCACATAACCAAGGACTTAGAGAGTTACTGTTTACTTTCAGCATCTGGAATTCTATAAAAAATGCATTTATGGCTCTTGATGATTACAGTCTGCAACAATTCACAACACCATTTTTACGCAGTAAAATAATGCTAGTCTAGGAATCGTTTTAAACCAGCTGGTTCGTTGCCATGCCAACGTGATAGAAACGCTTCATCTCTATATATAAATTTATTTCTAAAAGCACACATGCACGCACCCACTCACGCAGGCGCACACGTAGGCACGCACACACGCAAAGAACGCACTCACGCAGGCACGCACGCACTCACTCACGCACGCACTCACTCACGCACGCACTCACTCACGCACGCACTCACACAGGCAGGCAGGCACGCACGCACGCACTCACGCAGGTACGCACACACGCACTCACGCATGTATGCAAAAATGTGGTGGTAAACCAAAAAATAGTGCTAGTATCCTAAACATTTCCCGCGCCTACAAGCGGTTATTCGAAATCATTGACATTTCTTCGCCATATAGCAAGCCAAGAAAATGAGTGTTTAATGATAATTAAAATAATACAATGAGAAATGACAGGACAATGACAAAAATATAGTTACTTATGTTGGCATTTTAATTACTGCAGATTGCAGCCGCAACCATAGCCAGTAGAAACACTAGAGTGTTGCCTACTATGGCAACGCTGGAGGAAGGTGCACTCTCCAGTGATGGATCATATGTGATTTTGTCCCCTCTGAAATTGCATAAAAGTAGGAAATTCAACGTGGATTAAAAAATTTCAGAAAATCAGTCAGTTGCTCTGTTCCGGTTCGGTCAATATGTGTGAACTAAATTTCCAGTGTGATCTGCTATTGCTTTTTGTCACCTTGTTTACCCTAAGAAAATTGATGTGTCGTAGTTCAGAAACCAAATGAAATTATTATGAATATGAGGCTATTGTGCAAATACGAATTTGATAAATAAGATGTAATATTACTACAAGAATGTATATATGATCTTACTTGGGAAAACGGAAGATAAACATTTTCTTATTTCCTTTGGTGGTGTAGTCTGGATAACCAGTTGGCATATCTGTCCAATCACCACTATCGGACGTCTTTACCTTTTGGGACAGAACCAAATTGGTATTCGCACCCATGTCAAATGTCTGTGGCTCTCCAGTCTCGGTCTCTTTCTTCACAGCATCATCAGCCTTGCCCTGAAATAATAATTTTAATGCATAAAACAATGACTCGCTTCGACAAAAGGCGAAACAGCACCGATTATGATTGTTAGTTTACTTTCTTTTTTATATCGCAAGTATTTGGGTAGAGCAATTTTGAATATCCTTTCAGTCCAGCATTCTTTTTTCCTCAGATATCTGGTAATTTCATAATAATGATGCTTTTATCAGTGGCGCTAATAGTAGAGGGAGAGAGAGAGGGGAGAGAGAGAGAGAGAGAGAGAGAGAGCAAACATTACTAAAGAGTAAATTCAGGTTTATACTATTGGCATGAATATGAAATCAAACAATTTTAACTGAATATTTTCAACAGCACATAAGCACTTTATTCTAGAAGAGGAAATTCAGATAGACAGTACTTCACAATATGTATTTGTGAATGTACAGGACATGCCTTGAGATAATGGTTCTGGGGTCAGCCTATACAGTCTATTTAATTACAATTATTATATCTATATTGCTGTTTTATTACTTTACAAACAATTAAAATTTCGCGTTATCGGACCTTATTTTTTAGGCCGTGGCTACGCGACCGGTTCCGGACGAAGAGCCGCTGGGTTAGTGGTCTTGCGACACGTACACGCATGATTGCGCAACGGTACGCTCTGCTGATTGCCGAGTGTGTGTGTGCGTGAGACAGAGAGAGAGGGAATGTGTATGTGTGTGTGTATGCGTGAGAGAGAGAGAGCGGGAATGTGTATGTGTGTGTGTGTGTGTGAGAGAGAGAGAGAGCGAGCTAGAGGTGTGCGTGAGAGAGATAGAGCTGTGCGTGTGTGTGTGTGAAAGAGAGATGAAAGGATAGACGGCAGCAGTGCATATATTGTGTCTATTTGGCACTATTTTGGCACTATTTGGCGGTCTCTGTTATTTGAATAACCTCTTACCGTCATACCTTAATATCGATGACGAATTCCAGCATGTGTGCATCCGAGTCAGCACCCCATGTCCAATTTTCGATAACGATGTTGAACTTGAGAGTTCCCGGGTGGACTGTGTGGGTTTCTTCACCCAAGCTCAAAGTTCCCATTTCTTTGAAGATGTACATTACAACAGTCAGATTACCTAGTGTAGTTTGTTGTTTAGCCAGCGAAGCAGAGAACGATATCCTGTAACAATTAGTATACATTTCTACGATTAGTGTTCATAGAAATTCGTAGCTTTATCGGTGTAGCCCTTTTGCTGTCGCTACATGGGAGCGAAGGGGCTACACCGCAGTACGTAGAGCTAATGATGAAATTCATAGTGGCTCGCAAAATAATTATGGTGCTCAGTAAATCAGCTAACAAGTTGTTGCACAATGCAAATACGTCGCAATACATATAAAATATGACGTGGATTGAGCCTGTTGAGTGAAATATCCTTGATAGTTTGATTCACTAATTACTAATTAGGTGCACAAAATAAATGCGAATTAAATTTTCTCTAACCGAGTGAACACTCACTATCGTTTACAAAGGCATATGCGTCTTTATCTAGAAAAACAATATAGACACAAACGCGGTCCATCGGGTATCTAGATCAATAGAATTAATGCAAAAATGAAAAGAAAAAAAATATTTTTAATAGAACGTAGCTGCAATGCGCGACATAACCTCAAGAAACTGTCATGAACACAAAACACTGTCAAGAAACAAAAGACTTGCTGAAGACGTGCCTATATCTTCGTGCACCGTACACCGCCGAGTTTCGTAACCCGGTAGGCGTATATCTACCTAGCGTATCAGCTCAGACGTTAAAAAAGTCGTCAGTTGCTACTCCTACGCACAGCGGCAAACGACGACACGCTTTTAAGGCCACCGCACACCAGCCGATTTTTACAAACGATGAAGCGATGAAGCGATGAAGCGATGAAGCGATGAAGCGATGTAGGTGTGCGGGGGCCTGAATATGCGAGCTGAGAAAAAAATACAATGCGTCCAAGCGAACAATCAAGCGAACAATGCGAATTGAGTGTGGAAATTTACAAAGCCACTCGCACACGCTGTTCAATCTTCCAAGGTCACGCGCACACCACAAAATCGCGTCCAAATAATCGGTTCAAAATCAAACATGTTTGATTTTGGAACGATCACCCGATAAAAATAAAATCGTCTACAAATGAACGCGCACACCTACATCGTTTCATCGCTTCATCGCTTCATCGCTTCATCGTTTGTAAAAATCTGCTGGTGTGCGGTGGCCTTTACATGATATATATTATATATATATATATATAGATACAATAATCATTAATGTAACCCAACACAAGAGTAGGTACACAATGTAACCCTACTCTTGTGTTGGGTTACATTATTGTATCTAGCTTTCACACTGCTTGGGTGTCAAGTCCGTCTGCGTTTGCATTCGATAACATTACATTCTTAGAACTACTAAAATGTACTAAAATTGAATAATATTATACTTACATTTGGGCTTCTATATCTGAATATGTCGTGTTTTCTATGTCTGAGTAGGTAAAATCTTGGTTCGCAAAAGTATTAAATCTTTTATCGGTCACGTCATTTCCATCTCCATCGACCTCTTTTAATTCGTCCCAGTTTACTGTGACTTGAGATACCTCATTTTCCGACTCTGCCGGGGGGTTAATCGTTAACGATATTTTTCCTGATTTGCCTAGAACCTTCACTTCTACATTATCTCCAGTTAAAGTTTTGTCTTCAGTACGCACTCGTTCTCCTAGGCAGAGACAAATAAGAATACAGAGCGCTAATTTACTCATAACGAAGTAGCAATATTGTATCTATATCTGCAAATTTTTAACAGCGTGGCTTGGGCTTGCTCTCTACACTACACTCTACAGGACACGCTACAATCGAACAACTGCTCTGCTCCTACTGCTCTGGCCGATTATATCGAACGCGACTGATGCGGTTCATAGGAACAACTACGTTGCCAGTGTATCGATAATGACGTCACAATAGAGACAATTGTCTAAGGGGCCAATAAGCCCATTATGCCTATTATATTTATGCCCATATATGTATGACTTTTTATGAATAAGCCAATCCACAACCCTGGTGGCGTGTCTTGAGTGCAGAGGGCCAGAGGCCATAGAAATATATATAAAGACACTATATTTCTATGGTAGAAGCCACTGAGTTGTGTATAAAAACTCTTATGTTGTCCATTGTTGTAAGATGGTTTGTCTATAGTGTATTGAGGGAAATTACCAAAATAATAATGACGTGTTTGTAGTTATTAGTAAGTGCAGGTAAAATTTAAAAGGTTAAATATTTTTTCTAACTGTAATAGTGAACGGGATTGATTGGCCAAGTTCAGGATTGTGAAAATGCTGATGAGGGGGCATGTAAATTTATTACGTTATAATTTTTCAATGTGTGGATAGGTGCGCGTGTGCCTTTCTTACCTATATCGCATTGTGTTTTTTGTCAGGTGAACTTGTACTGGTATTATCATGATCATACATAAAGTTATATCTATGTTTATAGCCCGACCAGGCTGTGCGACCGATTGTCTATACAATATATACCGGCGTCTATAGAATATACCGGGGTCTTCTAATCCTAGCAAGACCGTCTCTTGGAGCTAATCTATGTTATATATATAATAATGCCATATATATCCATTGTATAGATAATAATTATGTTCATGGTATTATCTATGATTACATCTATTATATATTTCTGTGCTAGTTAGGAGACGTTGTTTAGACAGTGCATGTGGTGCAGATTTCTAGATTTTCATCATGAATTGTAGGCTACATCGCCTCAAGTTGCTGGAGGTTGCCAACGTTGAAACAGCGTTGAAAACTTGTTGTATTTGTTAGTTGGAACAACGTCAGTTTTGGACAGTTTTGCTACGTTTCGTACACTACTACTATTCGTCAATAAACGGTTACTCTTCATTAGAGCAGCTAGTACCCGTTCAAATGCTGGACAGTATCCTTAATATACTACATTCGCATGCTTACTATTATTCTTGGATATAGGTACATTTATATGGCTCGCATGAGTCCGCCACACGTGTGATCGATAAGATACTAGTATAGAGTACGCAAGCCGAAACAAACGACAAGGAAACACCTGTGTTCACACACAGGTTCATCCCATGCTCAATCATGCTATTGAAAATCAGGTAGGTATGTATTAAAAATCTCCTAATTACGGGTCAAATTTAATCCGCTGGCGCACAGGATAACGTTAGAATACATATTGCCCAGGTAAAACAATATAAACAAATTCACGAAGTAAATCATTAGATTTGCACAATGATATTTATTAGTATAACTATTTCTTCGCCATTCTTAACATTATGCTCCAGGATTTTTTAGATTCATATCACGGCTAGAGATTATTGTCCATAATTTGCAATACCATTAGACTGCTGATGAAACACTTGTTAACAAAACAGCAATATATATTAAATGTTAACTGTATGGTTAACGCGCAAAAATACACGTTTTCAAAACTTAAACATCAAGTGAACAAACATATAAACAATTAAATTACAATGTAAAAATTATACGAATATTACATTAATTTCTTGCGAAAAATCCCCCAGCTAGATCAATATATTTACACACACACGTATGCATGCACAAAAAAACTTCCAAGTTCTTAGAATTGTACTGGCTGTGGATATTTAGCTTCGTATCACTGCTAAAGAATATTGCCCATAAATTTCAACACCTTCATAATGTTAATACAATACATGTTAACAAATAACAAGAATATAACATTAAATTGTAAGCGTACTCACACGTGAAAAGGAGTGTTATCAAAACTTACACAACAACTGAACAAACATACACAAATAAAACACAACGTCAAGATTAGATATATAATATCACATTAAAGTACAAAAACAAGGTAGACCACTAGATTTGCACACTCACACCTATTACTTTAAGTAGAATTTTTTGCATTTTTAGTATGGTGCTTGGCCGTGTTGTTTGCCTCACATCACTGCTAAAGAACATAGTCTATAATTTCCAATACTGTTATAATACTAATATAATAAATGCCAAATAAAACAACAACAACAACAACAACAACAACAACACCATAATACATTGATATTAAGGGTAAACATGCGTGAAAGTAAACATATTCGAAACATACACATCAAGTGCACAAACACATGAGGAATTACAGTACTACATACAAAGTATACAAATATCATATTAGACTTTACATAGAAAAAATATACAGTATTGTTTCTGTTCAAAAATTTCTTCTTAAAAAGAAGAACATTACGAATGCAGTTCAAATCTTAGGAATAATATAACATATATGCCATAAGCCCATGCATTTGTAAGTAAATGACATTTTCTTCATAACTACATACCTACATAAATTTAGCAGAGTACAACAGCACCTAATTATAATACAATATATTGGATAGCAAATTCCTGAGACAATATGTAAAACTGTGACGCAGTATGGTAATGGTCAAAATGTAGCATTTATAACACCATGGCTAGTTAGAGCTCAAGATTGTTCATCTGCAATATATAGTATAGATAATATAGTCATATTACAAATTATCCAGTCAAACTCAAATTCCCACATATTACAGTCAAATTCAAATTCCCACTCATCATTTTATGGTATTACCACCCACGTTCACATTTCACAACACGATTGGCCAGGGAAAAAATCACCATGATCTTAAATAAGTAGTAATATAGCTACTGTATTATAATGTGTATTTCCACAAGTAGGCAATACTACTAGACACAAATAACATCTTCTGTGAGCAGTGATCTTCAGCGTGCAAATCAGTGCTGCCACCTATTTTAAAAGGCTTTCCATTTAAGGCAGACCACCACACTATCACCGCACCTAACATGAGGCACTTTTTCGGCTGCATTAGTGTACTTTCATGGGTCATAATCACCACTACGCCACTGCTCACGTATCTTCGCTCTATGTTCCTCAAGCAAGAGGGTATCTTCAGGGCTAGTATACTTGCGTTTCCTGCCAATTCTTGTGCTAATGCAGGTTTGACAAGGTAGGATGCCCTCAGGTCCTGCTGGGTAACACATGTCACACCTCTGCAAAAAATTTGGACAGACATGCACCATACTATTAGCCATCTACTGAAGTTAACTATAATATGCTAGCCGTAATCGTGCACGCATTCAGGTTCCCTACCGCTACAGGACTATATGGACTATATGAGTCATAATGCTAGAAAATGGCGGTGAATCTTTGCAGCATGCCCAGCTATGCAGTAGACCGTAACACAATAAAAAAGTAAGCTAGAAGGCATCATAAACGGCTTGGCTTTAACTGGCCAATATCAAATCGAAGAGGACTCACTGTAATTTGGACAGACTGGGTCTTTTATTGGGCGTAAACAAACTAAAAACGGCAATACGTGACCACGTCTTATTTAAGTAGCGGCTGTGCTGGAGATTCACTGCTATTTCCAAGCACTCTGGGTCATAAAGCACTGTATCAGCTGCAAAGGGCTGCACAGATTTAGCTAGTATTATGCTACATTAACTGCCACAATAAAACCCCAAGATATAGTATCTTTGTTCTAGTACAATGGCTCATGGTTTATACACCACTGCTACATAAACTCCCAAGCAGTAGCAATTTGTACTTATGAAGTTACAAAGTCCTATAAAGGATGCACTAAACAGTTGAATGCTGTTTACAGTTTCATCATATTAATGATGGAATTAACAGCAACTTTACACCTGACCAAGAAGCAGGTAAGATTGATTTTTTATAAGCATCTCAATTACAATTAGTTAAGTCAACGTGTAATGATCGTTTGAATTTTGAAAAGCAACCATACGTACTTTGCAATGTTTGTCATGCCAGGCAACACACTTTAGGCACTTTGAGCAGTGGTTCCTGTGGTTTCTAACAAGCAAGCCACTACACCAGGAGTATCTGCGAGGAAGAGTTAACACAATTAGTGTTCACTAGCAAGCTGGTTAGTAGACATGCATCTAAACAGATGAATTGCTCCGACCTGTGATTGGAGGGTGAAAATAGAATTCGTGACGTTTCGTTTTCATTTTGCATACCCTGCCGCATACGCTATTACGCTATGACCGGTAGGAAAGTGTACTAACTTTCATATGGCGCGAACGATTTGAGTTACATTTCTATAAATTCTAGCTATTACAGACACATGTCTTAAGACATGTGTCTGTAATAACTAGCATTTATCTCTGTGAATTTTGAGTTTATTGAAGCACGAATTAGCCCAATTAATTAGCAAATATGCACGCGCGGTATCGCTCATAGGCTAATATACACGCAGCTATATGCCCGGTAGGAAAGTGTACTAAGTATCATATGGTGCGAATGATTTGAGTTACATTTCTATAAATGCTAGTTATTACAGTCTTAGACACATCACACCTTAGCTATGATCCCTGTGAGTCTCGAGTTTATTGAAGCACGATTAGCTTAATTGATTAGCAAATATGTACACACGGTATCCAAAACGAAACGTCACGAATTCTATTTTTATCCTCCAATCACAGGTCGGAGCAATTCCTTTGTTTAGACACGTGTTAGTAGCGCCACCTCGTATGAGAATTCTTAAGCCAGAAGCAGTGCACAGAAAAGCCAGTATATAGGCATGACTAAAAAAAGTGATATATATAAAAGGAATATTGATGCGATTTGGCTACACAAATAATGCAATTGACACAGTGCATACCAGGCTGGAAATTTAGACTGCATTATGCAATTCATATCATGAGCTTTCTTGCAGAGGGGGGATTGAGAGTTCTAATCCTATGCAATATTATACAATGTGATCATCTTAATATTTAGAAGGCAGCATGAATCTATAAGGAACAATAGAAAAACATAGTTGACTCACTGGTAGATGGCGCCACACAGAGAAGGGCAGCGTGTCAAGCCTGGCACACACTCACGCACTAGCCGCTGTGTTCCACAGCATTGGAACACCACAGCTTTATGCAAATAGGATCGCAAGTTGATCTGCTGAGGTTGAAAAAAGGAGGCTTTTATCAAAACTACTGAGACACTCGGGTATAAATTATTTTAGTAGTATTCAGCACTAATTAAGATTAACAAAACACTGTGGTACATCAATCACCATAATCAAGTGTATCAAGATAATACGCCGTTAACCAGAATTTTTATTATTTAGTTTTAGTATATATGATAGATAATATACAATTATAATGATTTTAAAACTCAGCGGTAAAAATTAGACACAAGTATTCCGTTTCTAATTAATTTCAGTAAAATACTAACAGTTACTAAATTGTAGTATTCCAGCAGTAACCAATTTAACAAGTTTTTAAAAAGAAACCTTGTGAATTTTCTGCATGAGACAGGAATCCTGTTTTGCTATGTAAATGTCAATTCCTACTTCAGTTAACACACTCAATGGGTTTTCACAAGTCCCACACCTAAGGAATAAAGAATTAGTAGTAAGATACTATAGAGTTAAGTCACAGTACTATATAGTCTTAAAGTAAATGAAAAGAATAAACTCAAGCAATTAAGTAAAATGAGTAACATTGCATATATACTGATCTATATAATACAAAGGAAATAAACTAAGAGGCAATATTTATAATTGAAATCATTCTCCATTTCAGTTTCAACATCATCACCATGATCATTATTATAACCATAACTCTCATTATGAGCACACTTATTATATAAAGTAACCTTTGCATATAGAATAATTAATGTTCAATGAACTGAGGACTATCAAGGTTGAAAACTATCTGGGTGCATGCGATAATGTACTTTACTGATGCAAAGCATTATTGGTGACGTACTTGCAAAGGCTGTCACAGGGCCTTTCTGACTTTAGGCAGGGGCATCGCAAACTGCGACATCCCATGTTACAGCCACATCCCTTTGTCCGTCGTGCTGAGACAACCTGATCTGTAATACGCATCACTCAGCTTAGTCAGTTGTTTTAAGACCTTGTTTGTTTGAACATACAATCTCTTATTACAGATTCACACTCGACTGCTGTCCAGCACTTGGATCATCTTTAGAAAAAATACCAGATAACAAAAATGTGTATAATTGAACGTAGATATGCCAACACTGTAACACTGTTTAGTTACTGAAAAATGTAATTAGTTATTTGAAGGCACTCTAAAGGAAGAGAAGTGAAATAAACTGACCATGATTAGAAGGAATCAGTGCTGTGGGCAGAGGGAAGCTTTCCTGCTGGTAGGGCACAGACTGCTGGAACATAGCCTCAAAGCGCGGGTCGAAACAGCACAGGTAGAGATACAACTTCCTCAAGTTTGTCTTGCTCATCATTACCTGGAAAACGAATTTCACACCATCATACAAACACACAATACATCAAAATATTTATTTAACCATACACTGTAACGATGGTACAATTCGTGTGGCAGAACTTCACAATAACCTTGCTAAATATAACGAGACAATCACCTATCATTGAAAGATGAGTTCAACAACATAAACCATCAAACCCACGTTAGGCTTACCTACGCAGCATTGAGGAGTATCTTAAAGCTGAACAAAAATCATGTTATTTTACCCCTAAAAACTGCACCATATGCATGCTCCTACTTTGTGACAAGCAACTCTGGCTAGTTCTCCATTTGTCAGGTCTACTTTCGTTGCTCGGTCGTATACAATGTTAAACTGGACTGCTCCATCTACAGGTCTGACGTAACTGAGGTACATGGGAGGTGGGCTAAAAAGGTAAACAGTCAAGAATTTCGGTGACAACAACACTACACAGCACAAACGTACACTTACTGTGAACACAACATCACGAGAGGGAAAGAGAGATAGGAACGCAGCAAGGTAGGAAAAAAGGAATTGAGTTGGATAGATAATTTAGTAGCCTCCTCCAATTGTATCAATTAAATTCTCCATCCCTATCATCTTATACCTACCGCTGCACTTTGATGAAAAGTTCAACATCATTCAATTTTCCTATCGCCACAATACTCTCAAAGGGCACCTCGATGATAGCCCCTGAAGCAGCTGGGTATTGTAGCGAGTTGAAGCCAAACTCGTACACCATCTTCCTGCAATTTCAGCAATTAAAGTTTATACAATTAATTAACAAATTTTCAGATATATGCTAACATGACATAAAAAATGGATTGCATATACCACCATGCATACTAAGATGATGCTTTCTCTGCCATTACTGCACAAAATCACGCTCCACTATCATTCATAATATCCACACACTCAAATATTACTACGATAGATCAACACTGATGCTTTACAAATTAATATGTACAGTACAGTAAATGCCATGACACACTGCAGCAACAACGACGAACTGCGATAGACATTTGAGAAAAATAGAAGCTATTTTTTTTCAATGAGCTGTTGCATATATACATGAGATAACATCCAGTGAAAACACTCATGACTAAAATAGTAGAGTAGTTTTATAAATATCACCGACACGCAACAAAAAACAACTTTGCTATGATAAATGGGCTGCTCATCTAACTTCGGATTACAATGACGTCTTTTTGTGTATTCAGCGGCTGTGATGCGGAACATTATAACTGGTAGTTTCTGCTGCAGTAGTTTGACCCTAAATTGAAAAGTGTAGAAATAGAGGGCATATATGTACAAAAATTGCAAAAAGATTTAACTGCTACAATTTAGGGGAAATACACATCAAAAATTATGATTACAAATATGGCTAGTACCTTTGTGCAAACATCACTTTGAGCCTGTTCTGGCAAAAGTCTTCACTCTCCTTGAACACCTGTTAGCAACCATTACATAACACTTTATAATGGCTTTCATTGGTTTAATAAATTTAATGCAGTTATTACGCAGGTATAAATTTATCAATTTGTAAAAGTCAAAAGTGCTCTAACCATGCACATTTATTTAATAAGTTAGGAAAGAATTATTATGCATAACATTATCAGATGCTTTACATCTCTTTAACATACCCTTGTTCACTATTAAACTAATTAGAACATTGGAGACAACACTAAAAATACCAATTACATCGTCCAATTGTTAGAGGACAAAGAAATCAACTTTATATATTTTAACATATCTCCTAATGCAATTTTAATATGTTAATAATGTAAATCTAATCAAATATATATCTTACATGTATATTACACACACGAGGACTATACTGATTCCTGGGATGTTATGAAATGCAAGGTTGACTGAAGTGTGCCTGTAAGGAACACTGATTACCACAAAATGTCCTATCTCCAACAGCAGAAAGTCAAAGTGGCGTGGCATATTCTCACTCGATTTCACAACGGCAGGAGAATATTCCTGTAACACTGCAAACGGATGTTGTCCTGACAGATGCTGTTCCCTGCGATGTTCTCCAACAGATGGCGACATTAATACGACTGGTTGCACTTCTCGTGATTGCTGTTCCCTAGGATGTTCACGCACAGGTGGCACCATGCAGGGCTGCACACCGGAATTTGTAGCTGGTGAAAACAAAATCACAGCTAATCAAACTATAACCAAAGATGTATATAGTGGAGACTCCTGTTTCGATCACAACAATCACATTTAAAACTAATATCTAATTTTTTTTTAAGTAAACTTAATACTAATGAGACAAGTTTAAATGTATTTCTTATTCTTAAACATAGATGAGCTCACACTCACAGACAAGACATACAAAGATTATCTGCTTTAAAACCAAAGTAACTATAGATAATCTCTTACCATATGGCACACCATCTTGTTGTGTCTTCTGCTTGGTGGGATATGGACCGAATTGTGTTACTCTCCCTCCACTACCTCTTGATGAGTGGATGCGCTGGCTTGAAGGAGTGCTTCTAACGTCAACGCTCTCAGGCACGGCTGTACCAGAATACGATCGCCTCATATCTGGTGAGGGTTGGGGCAAATACCCCTGAGGTGGAACTCCAACCAGAAAATTACACTGCTCACGATACTGCTGTTGCTGCCGATGCCCATGCCACTGCTGATTCTGCTCGCGTGGCCTATGTTGCTGCTGTGTTTGATGAGAATACTGCTGTGCTCGCCTAGTCAAAACGCAATGCTGTTGGCGCATTACTGGTGCAAACACAGCCGGCGAATTCAATACAGTTATGGTGCGCAGTGGGATAGCGGGCATGCACACTGTCTTCTTAGGCTTCCACTGACCAACGGCCTGATGTTGATGGCTAACAGACACGAGTGAGGGCGCTGCTAAACGTGACACAGAGTTGCAGAAGCTCTCGACTGGTAACGCACTCAGAGTGCGAGCGCTTGCCGGTGAATTTCTCTCTCCCGTCCTGCCCGATTCTTTCTCATTGGCATCAAACCTCCTCAACGGTACGTCAGAAACCATGGTTTTAGAAGCCTGCTGAAACTCCACCGACGCCTTGCAGGCCTTCCCCTGTTTATTTCGAATCTGAGTATACTCATTACCTAATCCGTGTAAATATGCAGCAGGTTGACTACCCTGCACCAACGAATCTTGACTGCTAGATAGCACAGGAAATGAAATGCCCTGCGGTGGCGATTGCCATCCATGTCCGCCTTCCCGTGATCGACTTTTTGGTGTTGAGATCTTGGGAGAGAACTCAGCAAGTGTATGTGAGTGCTTAACCTTCGATTTATCCTGTTTGTATTCATGTGATGGCTTACCACTACCAGTTGATGATTCAGTCAAATTCTTTTGCACCGTCTCCCTCTCTTCATCCACAAAAGTTTTGCTTCCTTGGGTCTCACAGACATCAATAAGTCTTTCTGCAATGGAGTTGCCTATATCAATGAGCTGTCCACCAGCAACTGATGGGCCTGGATGTATGTCGTGGAGCTCATCAAAGCCGCCATTAAATGGGATGTAATCAGTCACGTTGAGGTGACCAAACATCTCGGCGTCTTGAGGTCTCACTTGCTCACGCCGGGTGCGTGGAGTGCTACAGCTAGGCTGGTAACTTTGCATTGGCATCTCTTCGTGCAGGTGATCCCATGTGTCACCTTCATCAACACCTAGTCTCTGCTCGTTTGTCTCGTGTGACACTGATTCAGAGTATTTCTTTGAGCTCTCTAGGTGGTCCTCGTGTGGCTCCTTTCCAGTCTGATCTGATTTATGGCAGACTTTGAGGACCGAGTTGTGCACCTCTTGGTAGACAACCGTTCTAGTCATAGACTCGAACACAGCGTCACCTGCAGCGACGGCCGCTCTTGTCACAAGGACCGACTCGGTCAAACTTGAGTGACTACTATTACTCAATTCCAACTCATAGTTGCTGTGGGGAACTGGCTTCTCATCGACTATCGTACCCGATTCATGCTCACTGACGCAGACGGCCACAGTCGAAGCCACCTTTGCTCCAATATCATCTCTTTCGTCCACATGACCTGAGGCAGCTTCCAAAGCGTTAGCTTCGATTTTAGCGCGACTGACGACGAGTTCGTGGTTACCAGCTGCCATCTGCGAGAACGATTTTGGTGAACCATGATCATCCACCTTTGAGGCTTTGACATCTGGCCCAGTACATGTAGTTGGCAAGACAGTGTCACTCACAAAGTCGCACACACTGCCTCTGCCTGATTCAAGATCAGCATTCCCACTCAGTGTTGGTTGCTTTTTAATAGCTGGCACTGAGTCAAGTAACTGATTACATCCATTACTGCTAGTTAACTCTAATTGCTGGTTGTTGTTTGACAGAGGCAGTATGACAGGGTCTTTAATCTGCTGTTCTAGTAAGTTGTCAAGTAAACTCACCATGTCAATGTCATTCGAGCCTTGCCCAGCAAGTGTCTTTGGTTCCAAATTATCTGACGTTGGCAGCTTTTTGATACTTTGGTGCATATCTCTATCTAACAACCCATCAAGCAACCTAGTAACACCACTGCTACAGCTTTGCTCTAATTCCGAGTTGTCTGGCAATGGTATCGCATCACAGTCATTAATCTGAGTTCTTAAAACATCATCGATTGAATCACTCATGTTTGAATTACTAGCTGCACACATATTTATGGTTATCCCACCTTCAGGTTTACATATCTTCACACAGTCTCTCTCATCCTGTTCTTTCTCTACTTCTAATAAGCACTCAGTATCCTTTGTACACCCACTATTAACGCCAACATTGCAATCAGAGATGGTACCTTTCAGTTGCAAGTCATGTGCAGGGGACCTAACATGGCCATTGTTCTCTCCATTTAACATATCAGAGAGCAAACTAGTCAAACCACTGCTAAGACTGCTGCTTAACTCCAGTTCAGAGTCGTTTCCTGGTGCTGGAGACTTCTTGCTCCACCTTTCTGCCATGTTCGGCAAGCTGAGCTCTAATTCGTGGTTGTTACCTGGTGCTGGAGCCTTCTTCTGTTTCGCTATCCCTTGATGCAAGCTGCTGTGTAGAATGCTGCTACAATCACTAGATTGAGTTGAGCTGAGCTCTAATTCGTGGTTGTTACCTGGTGCTGGAGGCTTCTTCCGTTTCGCTATCCCTTGATGCAAGCTGCTGTGTAGAATGCTGCTACAATCACTAGATTGAGTTGAGCTGAGCTCTAATTCGGGGTTGTTACCTGGTGCTGGAGGCTTCTTCCGTTTTTCTATCCCTTGATGCAAGCTGTTACACAGACTACTGTCACAATCACTCGACTGTGTAGAGCTCAGCTCTAAATCGGGATTGTTGCCTGGTGCTGGGGGCTTCTTGCTCAGCTTATCTCGCACATGATCCAAGCTGCTACAAGAACTTTTGCGATTAATTGCCCGAGTAATGCCAAGCTCGAAGTGTGAATTTTTAACAGCTGAAGCTGGTTCTCTCAGGTTTTTTGTTGGGACACTTCTAGATAAAATCGGTTCAGTCAACCAGTTGCACTCTGCACTTGATGGAGATGTTGCTTGTAGTTGTAAACCATCCTTGTTCTGTGATCCATCATTGACACCCCGTACTGCAGCACAGAGGGGAACCAGATTCCAACCATTAGGGCTATGGAAGACATGAACATATGGGGGACTATGGTATAAGCCTTTTAGGTTGGTATCTATTTCTTGATCACCCATCACCCTTGGAGAAGAATCCATTCGGACAGGATACTGATGAGGTATTTCAGAGGACGGTGACACTGGACTTGCTAGATAATTATGTACCAGATGTCGTTTACTAGTAGAGGTGTTTTCTGCAAGTTGCCATCTCGGCATTTCCCGATTGGCCAGCCGACAATCCGGATAAATGGTAGATGACTTTAGCAATGCAGGTGGTGTTGTGAATGCCTGCAAATTTGACTCATGCATTCTTTCCTTAGTGGTAGCTGCTGGATTCAAATCAGTTCGATGCACTTCATGGTGCATCTGTGGCCTAGTGACTTCATGTTGCATATTCAATACTACATTAGGTGTTCTTTCATAAACCGAGCGTTGACTGTTTTCAAAGGCAGGTGAGGCACCTATGTGTGTGCCATGGTAAGTTGAACAGAAAGGGCTGGCTGGAGATTGAACAGAATGTTCAGAAAAGCTAAACCCATCACCAATACCACTGTCACACCTCTCACGTGACATGGCCCTGCAAGCTGGTGTGGAAACTGCCTTAGTTTCCAGTTGGGAATACGGTCTTGCATTATCTCGTGTGTACATCATGCTCCCAAGTGTAGGTACAGATGCATTGCCAACACTCGTTAGGGCAGAACAGGTTGGGGGTAGTGTTAGAAACCTCTCCCGTGTGCTATTTGGACTTATGTTACCATACTCCATCTTTATTCCACCATATCTTCCTATAGTTGATAGAAAGAAATAAAAATGAGAATTTTTAGTTATAGGGCAGTGGCTGTACATATTCTAATGTCATAACTTGATTTAAACATCATAACTTGTGAATATATATACAGGGGTAGAAATTAACTTTTGAACACGGGAGTCCAATGGACTCCCTACCCTCAAAAAGAGAGAGTCCGCAGCAAAATAAGGGAGACCGCAGTCTGAGGTTCAAAATTAAAGATATTAACAATAACGCATGTGCTTATTTTTAAGATTCATGCAGTTGCACGTCTGCCAAATTTTCTTCGGACATTAGCTGAAAAAATACAGTAATTCCGCTAGGCTGTGCTGCGGAACGAACTAGTCAGTATCGCAGAATTTTCAGGGAGTCCGACAGTAAATCAGGAAGTATTTGACTCCGGACTCCCATTAATTTCGCACCCTGTATATATAATAACAATCACTGCTTGTTGCTAGTTATGGACCATCACGTAATAGATCACAGTGACAGTTGATCTGTTGGAGGTGAGTTTGCTTTTATTTTGCAGCAGATTAGGATCAGGTGATCTACATCAGATGGGTCTGCGTCCCCAACAAACATGCCTAATGACTCACCATAAAACTATGTAACGCTAAAGAGAATTATAGTGCATCACATGATAAATCATTGAAATTCTATTGGATAACGTCGCAGGTACTATGAAACAATAGTTTGCAACACTATTGTTTGCACGACGCATTATTATAACGCATTGTTTTAATATAAATTGAAATTGTTCGTTTAAGAAACTTTGTCTTATTCACTTAATATTTGCCGAGTAGATTGCAAAGTCATGTGATGCACTAAAAACATTAATGCCTATTGTTGGAGGCACTATATGCTGTCATAGTGTTGCTTTGGAAAAAAATACCCCCACCCCTACCTACCCAAAGCAACCCTACCTACCCTAACAACCCCTAACCTAACCCTCCCCAACCTACCTATACCTTCCCAAAGCAACACTATCAGAGCATAGTGCCCCCAACAACAGGCATTAATATATAATTAGAAATCATTGCTGCCACACACAATGCCCACGCAATTATTGAATTAAACTATGTGCCCACTGTAGCTGTGCCAACATTTATTTTACACATGTATGCTAGTTTGTTGCTTAGATTAACACTATGACCTGGGGGGGGGGGAGGGGTCACTGTCTATTAGAACATTACCCCATGTGCATTCTCACTAAAAATAATAGGCCCCCTAGTGCGAACTGCACATTGGAAAACCCTACCCCCTATTGCAGACACAATTGAAGAATACCATCCCCTATTGCATACACAATGAAAATATCCCACCCCCTATTGCATACACAATGAAAGAGTCCTACCCGGGGTCCTACCCCCTATTGCGAGGTCTTGCAGACAAGTGGAGGGCAGAGTGGAGTGAATACTTGTGATGAACTCAAAGAAGCTAGACTACTTGCAACTCTTGTTGCTGTCAACACTGAGTGTCAAATTTCAAATCAAGAAGAACGGAAGGAAAAGAGAGATTATTTATTATTTACATGGGGCAGGGTACTATGTGGTTCGTCATGAGGGGGCCTACTGCAGGCGCAGTGCTTGACTTGAACGATCTCGAAGGCTAATTGCGGGATTAGCTTTGTAAAGGGGGGGGGCCTATTTGCTCCCGCGCGGGCCCGCTTTAGAAGTTGAAAAACACCACCCCTAACTTGCAAATTTTGGAACGCACAGTGACCCCCCCCACGGGCACTATGAAGGCACACTAACAAACAAAACCTTAAATACACCAACATGTATCAGAAAAGATTTTAAAATAAGATAGGCCTATAACATGCCATACCAATTACCATAAATAACAATAACAATTTTACAATAAAATACTATACA